AGAGTTAATGTAGGAGTCTGGCTGGTGATACGTTGAAGGAGCTTATTGTTGAGAGAATGTATTAGGAGTGGGTTACTCACAGGTAGGCTGGGGATCTGATGGTGATGGAGAAACTCTAGATCTATGAAGCTGGCATCTGACCCTGAGTCAATGAAAACCGGAACCTGGATAGTCCTGGTCTCATATGAGAGCTGGGCTGTGATGACGGGTCGGGAGGTAGGGGAAGCCAAAATGGTGCAGCTCAGCAACGTCCTCCCCGTCCTGCTGAGCCTCTGTCTTTTAACGGACAATGCAGCGCCCGATGACCGGGCTCCCCAGAATACAAACACAAATTCAGCTTGAATCTGCACTCCCTTTCCTCTGGATGAAGGCGGGAGCGGCCCAGTTGCATGGGCTCCGGCGGTTCGGCTGTTGCTCGTGGGAAAGCAGGGGGTGGAGTCTGCCTCCGTTCACATTGCCTCTCCCGAAAACGGCCGTCAATTCTAGTGACTAGATCCATGAGCACACGTAGGCGTCTGGGTCGGTCATATGCAGTAAGCACATCTTTAAGTCTGTCAGACAGCCCACTGTAGAAAGCGTCTATTAATGTGGGCTCATTCCATTCTGTGTTGGCGGCCGCTGTGCGAAAATCAATAATGTAATCCACCGCTGTCCGGGTTCCTTGTGTTAACGTACGCAGAGAAGGAGATGCGGCAGAGGCATGGCTGGATGGATCGAAAATCCTCACCAACTCCATCCTAAACCTCTGAAATGTGGCACAGCAGTCAGATCTGTTGGCCCATTCTGCTGTTCCCCATCGGTGTGCCCGACCCGTCAGCAGTGACAGCGTGTATGCTACTTTGGATCGCTTGGTAGGAAAGGCAGAGGGCTGGGATTCGAACTGTATCTCACATTGGGTAAGGAACGAGCGTCCCTCTCCGTTTTCTCCTCCGTAGTGCTCCGGTGGTGGGATCTTGGGTTCGTGGCAGACTGGTGGAGAGAGCGGAGCAGGGACCAGCGCAGCTGCGGCAGCACCCTGGGTCCGATCTTTGCTGGCCAGGCCATGCACCCAGGTTTGTACGGCCCCTAATGGCTTACTGTATTATTTTAAAAACAAACATTTATGAAGTTGTCAGGGAGGTGAGTGACGCTCCCATGAAGATGGAGGAGTGAACCCAATTAAAGAGCCAGTCAGCTGAGGCAGTAGAACAGACCTTAACGACCTTTTGTGATTTCAGCAAAAACACACAGTCTTGGGGAATCAGGCAGAAGAGTGGTACTTAATATGGTCCAGGGTCGAAGTCTCCAGCAGGGCAGCCAAGGCAAGGCAGAATCACAGGTTAGTTGAACAGGCAGGGTGTCTATCTCAGGTTGGCAGTCAGACAAGAGGGAGCAGGCTGGATCACAGGTCATTAGAGCAGGCAAGGGTCCGGTACCAGGAAAACGCTGGAGAGTCTAGACAAGGCATAGAACAATCTGTCAGCTCCTCACAGTGTGAGGAGCTGCTATATGCTGTGGTGAACAGGTGTGGGTGATTAGTGACAGGTGAAACCAATGTGCATGATGAGCTGAAGTTACTGGGGTTGTGGATGAGCTGGTGACAGGAAGTGCTTTCAGAGTAAAAGCAGGGAGAATCAGAAGCCAGCGGGGCAGGTTCATGACATGAATGTACATGGTCCAGCATGTTCCTCCCTGTAGTTGGGCATTTCACATGCTGGAAAAGGCTGGAAGTATTGACTCTAGTGCAGCCTGACTGAAATTGCCAGGTAAGATATGAACCACGTCAGGATGACTACACTGCTGCTTGTTTATGGCATTTAATAGGGGTTCGAGAGCTTTACTAATGTTGGTTTCAGGTGGTATATAAACAGTGGTCACAGTAACTACTGTTAGCTCTCTTGATAAGAAGAAGGGGCAGCATTTAACTGATATAAACTCTACATCGGGAGTACATTGGCTGTCTATTATGATGTTGTTATTGGACCAGTCATTATGCACGTAAATACAGAGCCCCCCACCTCTACTCTTACCCGAGTCCCGGTTTCTGTTACAGGGATGAAGTGTGTGGTCTGCTAGTTGCATGGTAGCCTCGGGAATTTGCGGATGAAGCCAGCTCTGAGTTATAATCAGAACACTTCAGTTATTGACATACCGATTACTGCCAATTCCTCAATTTTGTTGGCCACAGATCTGGCATTGTAAGGAATATGCTGGGAAGAAGCAGCCTGTAAGGCTGTTTTCTGAGTTTAGTCAGATGTCCAGCCCTACAGCCTCACTTCTGCCTTCTTTCCCTGTGCCGCCTGCCAGGCCATTATAACAATCCACCGAGAGCCAGAAGCCCTCACTATATCGTCTGGTATATCGTGTCTGTGGCGAAAGTTATCCGAGACCAGCAACTTATGAACAAATACTTGGTTGTAAACTGTTCCAGTTCTCCCACACAGACACATAACTTGAATCACTGGTTAAATTCCCTCCAGGCTACCTCTTGTTGGGCACAAAAAATCTGGCTGGTGCCTATCTGAGTGCACTGGATGGGCCAACTGTTAGGATCGGAGCATGAAGCTGCCAATAATGTCGTGATAATGTCGTGGGTGAACTCAATTAAATAGCCAGACGAGGATAATTAAAGAAACACTGTCTCTTTAATAAGAGTATTGACAATGAACAAAAACGATACAAGACACGGTTTAACCACGAAATGCACTTACAGGTCAATAATACAGTCCAGGGTCAGATCCAGCAAACACATACATCCAAGGAATCCAAAACGCGTTGTCCAAAAGGGAAGTCCGATAAGCCGATATATAGAGAAGCAGTCTGAGTTTAAAGGGCAAGGCAGGCTCAGAAACTAGAAAGTCAGGCAAGAATTAATGCTGGAGAGTCAGAGCTGGAGTCTAGAACAATTTGGCAGGTTACTGGTGGGGGAAGGCTGCTTATAATGGGGTGAAAAACAGGTGTGATCAATGAGGAGCAGGTGAAACTAATATGAGTGATGATTAAAGTAAAAAGTCCAAAATTGTGGTGAAACAAAAACAGGAAGTAATGTCCAAATAAAAGCACGACAGGAAGCAAACAGAACCGAATCATGACACCAGCGAAAGAATGGATGAGCAGGACACATAATACTTCATCTGCCTCACACACACACATATACAGTACATACATGCAAGTTTTGCTTGGTTACTTCCTGAAGCCCATGGGAGTTCAGCTGTTGCTTGGGAGCTACAGCCTCTGCCTGGCACACTGCTGTGTACTCCCAGGCAGCCATGTAGTGTGCTGGAGCAGAAGAGCTAGATGTCTTCAGATGGCCTGGCAGATGGAGTTTGTTTTTCATTATTTTATTTTATTTTATTTTAAGCCTTTGATAATCCATCCAGAAAGAGAAGACTTCTCCTTGGCACTCCTAGCAGGGGCAGCTCACCCACAGGGAGCTGCATCTGCTCTGCTGGTCAGTCAGCCCTGGCACCTGATAAAAATGTTACTGGACAATTCATATTTCATATTACTAACCAATTTCAGTTGCTAAAATGTATAGTTCAGGTTAAAGGAAAATGCTAAAATTGCCATTAATGGCATGAGTCAGATATGCTTCACATCCATTTACCATGCTGATTTCAACTTCAATATATATAGAACACACTACTTTATTGATGCATAATGTTGACAGTATGGTCCAAAATATTTGTCCAGTAGAGAGTCCAAGTCATGACATCACATCCAGTCTAACTTTTGTTCTGCTAATATCTGGAACTCAATACAATTTCTCACTCAGCATTCCCATATCTGTGCTTGTGACAAAACAGTATGACATTGCACATTTGTTTAAGATTGTTGTGGTGGCAGTGGAATTGTGGGAAACAGGGGGCGTGAGTACAGTTCACTGATGGCTGTGGGGTAAAAGATACTCCTGAGTCTGGAAGTACAGATCTTTCTGTGTGGATTTAATTCTTATAATATTGGGCTGATGTGTCTTACAATATGAAACTAAACCCAAGAGACATTTAAAGATAAAAGAAATGCTAACAGAACAAATACAAACCTAGACAAATGTCCTTGTGAACAGAACTCTGGAACCTGTGTTATTAAAATGTACTTACTGTGACCACCAGCAACCACAACTGTCACCAAAACAACCAGGACTGAAATCATTAGGATTGTACCTTTAATGATGTTGTGCTGGATTAGTTTTAGACTGGCCAGTATATCAGTATACTCCTATACTGTATATTTGTCATTAAGTTTCAAGAAACTGCAATAAATACATGCCAGACTGTGTTTGAGTTCATTTAGGTTACATAGTCCAACAAAAACAAGGCCACCCGCAAGTTAATCTTTCAACTGTAAGAGTTCCACCTATACACTTGCTGGTCATAGTTACACTGTAAAGTTTGCTTGTTTATTTACATTTTCTGTTTGTTAATATTTAAAAAATTATACTTGTAGATATATGTATTAGTCATTTTTAAACTTCCAATATCAATGACTGTATTGGCCTCAAAAATCTAGCTGGATGATTTTACTATTACACTAAACTCTGTAGCAGTGTGTCAGCCTACCAGTATATACCAGTGTATACACTATATGTTTATAATGTGTTCAAAAAGCAAGTTAACTCTACTTTTAACTTTTGATATCTGTCTATGTTAATGCCAGTGCATGCCTGAATGAAGTTATGAGTGTGCAGTTGTGTGTGTGTGTGTGTGTGTGTGTGTGTGTGACTGTAAAGCAGTGTATGACAGTGTTTATAGCTGACTAGTCATGTAGGCCAGCTTCGGTGTCAAGAGCTCTTGGGGCTGGAGGACTAGAGGCAACATGGCTAACACGTATTCTCCTCTGCAGCAGGCCACTGTGCTAACAGAGACTGAACCATTCCGTCTTTATGAACACTCCTGTCTTGTCTGACATTCCTGCCCAGGGTGTGTGCACCC